TTGTATTATTATTTTTCTTAATTTTTTTAAATAAAAAAAAATCACGTTTTTGCCTTTTTTTAGTTACTGTAAAAAAATAAGAATCGAATTTAATAGGCAGTGAAAAAGATTTGACCATTGCACAAAAAGGAGCCATTATCTATGATTACCTTAGAGAAGATTCATATGGGCTGTAAGAAGTTTTCTGTGGGAAATATTATAGGTAAGTATCGTAAGGCAGAAACCACTGAACTGCAAAGAAAACGTCCTGGACGTCTGCCGCTCTTTACCACTACCGATCGCTCTGCCCTTAAAACTCTTGTAACTAATGAAAACCGTCATTTAAACGCTGCCCAAGTTGCTACTACTTTCACAGCTCAAATCAGACTCCGTGTATCAAAAAAAACTATTCGTCGCATCCTAAAAAAAGAAAATTTAAGATCTTGCATTGCATGCCCGAAACCACTAATCTTCCTCATTAATGTATTGAACAGACTTACCTGGTGTCTTGCTTGCAGGGACTGGACCACCCGACACTTCAGACATATTCTTTGGTCAGACGAAACATCTATTCAGCTTTTCCAGCAAGTTCTTTCCTGAATTTGGCACGAACCGCATGAAGAATGGGATGTCAAATGCCTAAGCTATACTGTTAAACGAAGCTCTAGCCGTATGTTTTGGGGCTGCTTTTCTTGGCACGGAACTGGCCCTCTAGTTCCATTAGTTAATAATGTAACTGGGACTTTGTATATTGAGATTTTGCACAAATATGTCATACCCACCTTAATAAAATATCCGGAAAACGCAGATCGTGAGCATCTTTTATTTCAGCAAGACAACGCTAGACTTCACGTTTCAAAGATCACCACTACATTTTTGAAGATCACAAGATTAGGGTATTAAACTGGCCTGCCCAAAGCTCTGATCTGAATCCTATCGAAAACCTCTGGCATGAGGTTAAGACATATGTGTGTCGCAAACCAAAGCCTAGTAACCTCGTTGATCTTGAAATTCTCATTAAACAAGCCTGGCGAGATGTTTCGCCAGAAATTTGTCGCTGATTAGTGGATAGTATGCCAGATCGTATTGCAGCTTGCATTGCTGCCAATGGAGGTCCTACAAAATACTAAAACAATATTAGCTTTGAATTTTTTTTAAAAAAAATAAAAAAATAAAATAAAAAAATAAAATAAAAAAAAAAAAAAATTTTCGTTTAATTTGTAATTTTGGTTTGAGCATAATTTGCAGTACGAAGGTTTTTTGATTATAAATTTCAAATGAATTATTGTAATTACATAAAATTTAAATACAATATACTTTAACTTATTATAAAAATATTTATTTAAAAAAAAAAAAAAAAAAAAAACTCTTTCCCGAAAAACCACTGATCCTTAAAAATTGCCTTATTTGGTAATTTTAAGAAAACCCAAAGACAAACTCATCTTTAACCTCAAGGAACACTAAATAAACCACTACAACATCACTCAAAGGTAATTTTATTACTAACAAGCATTGCTACTAACAAGCTTCTTGCTTGTTTGTCTCTTTTGTAGACAGACAAGTCCAAATTTTACACAAAAAGAAAAAGAAAGTTCAAAGCATACAATTCACAGTAAACTTAAAGAGAAAGTCAGCATCAACCCTCCTAGCTCCCAGCCAGTCGTGTACAAGGTTCTGCACCTCCCTAGTCACCAGAAGGATCTCTGTTGGCCAGATTTCACCCGATAAATCAGGCAACCTAGGCACCAACAAAAAACAAGGGGACACCAGACTTTCCCATAAGAAATTCAAATCAAAGGATCCCAGGAAAAACATAAACAACAACACGTATACTATTATCAGTTATCTCAAGTTACGCGACAAAATTTGTCAAAAAAACTTTTGAAAACTGAAAAACCAGATCCAGCTCAACCCCTTCAAAAGATCTACGGCAACACAAACACGTACAAAACTCAAAGATTTACTTCATAACACATCAACAAAATAACATCAATTTACGTGTTATTTGTCACCCAGCTTAAGTTACGCAAACACGTCTCTCAGCTCAATCTCAACAATATTAAAATAGTAAATACGCGACATTCACAGCAGCTACTCACAAAACAGTACGCGACAACAAGCTTTAAAATAGCAGGAGTCAACTAGTACTAAAAATAGAAACAACAGTACGCGACTACACAACAAAACACGTAAGCAAGTCACGTGTTCGTCAAAACGCAATGTCAACATCAAGACAAAACACATCCTCTGATCTTGTCACCAAGCAAACAATTTCTTCTAAACTTCAGCATGATACCAATCATTTACTTGACATAATCCTTATAGACAGAACAAGACGTTACGTGTCTATTATTTATCAAAACAAAAAAAAAGAAGTCATCTTCACAGAACCTTCCAGAACACATATAATCCCCATGCTTCAAAATCATCCCAACAGGTGGCTTATACCCACAACCAACATCTCCAGACCAGACTCTGCAAACCTATCGATATTCCAGATAGAATTTTTCACAAACAATAACGAAAACCTCCTTGCACAAGTTTCAGTTCTAAAGGAAAAACCCTTACACCTCTTGGATGAATTTCAAGACTTCCATAATTCGTTTCAGAGATTTTTGGTCAATAATGAACAACTCAGAAACGAAGTTGTCCAGAGAGTAATAGCAAAAGGATGGAATTATTCCAAACATATTCCCTGGAACATGATACAGGTTACTAAGGCTGGCAGCAAAAAACAAAAAACCTTTTCCCTCACAAAATCATATCAACTCATTACTACAAGCCAAACATCTCCTTGCTTGGCAATCAATACAGAATCATTTTCGTCTACAGATTCCACTACTGACTCCCAGAGCAAACCGACTACTATTCCAGTTACCAATCAGAATCCTCCATCAAGGACAATCACCAACCAATCAGATCCTGTTCAATCAGAAGACTTGCAGTCGGATCATTCAACCCAACAAGATCGGTCATCCAATCACAAGGCACCCCCCTTACAAGAATCCTATAAAAGCGATCTCTCGATTTCCATCGATTTAAACTTTCCTATTCCAGAAGATATAGAAATGGGAAGTGCCGCAAGCTCTTACCTGTATCAAGAAAATAATACTCTTAATACTCAAGCACCAATTAGCCCCACTATTTCACCCAACATCAACAACTTTCAGCAACTTAACAACCCTATCATCCCAATGTCTCGCTCTCCCTCACCCATCCATTCAGAAGTGCAAAAGCCCTTACGACGATCTGAGTATAATAGTCCAACATCTAATAGAGATAGAAATCCAGCATTCAGTAGCAGCCTCCAAGAAAGAATAAAAGCTGCCTCTAAAAGACTTTGGCTATATGAGGATGATATAATATTAAAATCTTCGGGTATAGAAGACTATGATATTACTATTAACTCAAATGATGAAGATGATGATTACAACCTACCGGAAGAGCTCGTTAGTGAACACCACCGTATTATTAAATGGGCATCCAAGCTTACCACCATAAGAAACAATTCCGATGAACTTATTAACCTCCTACTAGACATTAACCAGCGTCCAAGAGACGAAGTCAGACAGAAACCAAAGTTAGCAATCTTCACTAAAATAGAAGCAAGAGACAGAGGTTTCCTTAGGTTCAACAAGGAAACAGAATTAAAAGAAGACCATCAAAAAGAAT